AGAATTAGAGAACCTTCATTTCCTCATTTGAAGTTTTACTAGTAACCTCTTATTAATCAGGTAGAATGCGAATCATTTTTAGAACTAAATGGGTGGAAAACTTTGCCTACCACTGTCCGCAGTTCGCCATGGGGAATTTGCTTTGTGATAAAGAAAGAACATTGGGGATCAAAGTGATTCCTTCTTGGTGGAGATGCTCAAAAGAATAAGGAACTTTTTCTAATAACATTTGTGGTGTGTATGTTGTTTTTATTAATTCATTTGATTCCTCAAGCTAAAAAACCTTCTTCTTCTTTTTTTTCAAGCTGTATCTCATCGCTGGCCAATATAATGTCCCACAATATGTTTGATGTTGTCCCAAAATTTCGTGGTCTTTATATATTGAATGTAGTAATTAATTTCCTTTTGCGGTTGTGTTTAGTTTTATGTTAGTGACAGAATATGCTCGAGGTTTATGTCTTGATTTTGGTAAGAAGAGCTTTGGCAATTGTGCTTATTAACAACAGTAACCCTCTGTTATATGTTTATTAACCTTTTAAGACATTTCTAAAATGACATGCAGGCCTTGCTTGGAAATAGTTGTGAAGTCTATAAATGTATTTAATTCTAAAAGAGATTTTGAGGACATTTTAACAGTCTCAGTCACATTTCCTTATCCAGATATTCGAACTTGATGTTTCGAAGAGAAAACTTCTTCAGGATAATATTTATCCCAAAGTTTAGTTGTGTCATTTAGGTCATAGTACATTAAATGACACAATAACAACTGCTATTACTATGCCTCAATGTCAAAAAAGTTGGGACCGGTCGTATGAATCCTCACTGATCATGACGCTCCATTTGAAAGAATGTTAGCTAATACCCATTGCTACACTCATATGGTTATGCCAATGAGGACAGGCCTAATCAGTAGCCTGAGGCCACAAAAAAAGGCAAAGTCTTGCTTCCATTCTCCCAAATAGTAATAGTACTTGTTCAATCTTGCCTTTTTATTTTTATTTTTTATCTGGCAGATCACAAAGATCTAATTGGAGAAAACAGAGAGAACAGTACTAAAAAAATCCAAAATCATTGTTGCACAATTTTATGGAACATTGACTTAAGGATCAACAAGAAAATCTAGCCTTTGCATTACTCTTTGTTTCTTTTCAACAGTCTGTTTCACACTTAACAAATTACATTAAGCAAAGGAGATTGTGGATTCTCCATAAACCAATTAATGTTAAGCAAAAAGATTTCAATTCAAATTCCTTCATTGAGTTCCATTTATGCTTGATCATTGCAGTCTACATCAGCGACACAATAATAAACCATCCCAAGGCATTGATCAACAATAGCCCTGCAAAAACAACATAGTACTTGTAAGACTTCAGAAGCAATCAGAATGCATTAAAAAATCTCCAGATTTCATAGCAAAAAGCGGAAATATGTTTTACCAGTTTGCCAAGGGACAGTTCTAAAACTGTTACTCCAGGGTACTCCAAGAAAACAATCTGTTGTTGTGTTAACTCCACTTGGACAGTTGCAAATGAATGAATTATAAGGACCACAATATCCACAAACTCCATTAGTCTTTTCACAACTATCACACATTTCAGGGTAATCATTGTTGAAATTGAACTTGTATTTCAATGCCACTCCATATTTCCAGGCTTGTGGATTGGCATCTTGACCATTAAAACCATAGAGAGCTGAGTAAGATGTGCAATGCAGTTTCTCCAAATCCATCTCAAACGACGGCCCGAGATCAACTGGAGTATAAACACAACAAGTGGAAGTTGGGAGGTTAAGCCTGCTCATTGCTTGGCAAGAATAGAGAAGACTACAAACAGGATCCCCCTGAGAAGAATCACATAGAGGGAATGTTGAATTCATCCCTCCGTTGGATTTGTAAATTGGCGAAGAATCGGTTGAGCAATCGAGCAAGGCAAAAACTGTTTCATCGTGAAAGCTAAATGGTGCTTTCCAGTCTAAACTGAAACCTTTGCTTGGCTGTGTGCAAGCACAGGTTGACATAGAAGGATCACTGATGTATAAAAGTTGGTTGTTGTAATCTATAGATGTGACAGGGTAGCATCCAGAGTGAGTTTTGAATGTGAGCTGCTGATTGTTGCAGGTAATGAACGGCTGGAAACGCGGATCGCCACAGCCAGGACCTGTGCCAAAGGGATATTTCATCGGTATGTTGCCACAAAATCTTTGGCATGCTTGTGATGAGATTAATGAAGGAAAAATATTGAGTAAAATGCAGGAGATAAAAGTGGAAGAATTCTTGAAATTCATGATTGGTTGTTGATTAAACGCTGATGGTCAAAGAAAATAAGGGAGAGGAAGAGAAATATTATGAATGGTGGTGGCATTTTATATTAATGAGGATTGAGAATGGCTAACTTTATGGTAAAGAGGTTGCCTTTTGGTAGTGCCCAGATGAGATGTACTCTTGCTTTATGCGGATTAATTAGTTAGATTCTTCCTTCTATTTTTTGGATTCTGTGATCTCTATTCCAAGAGAATTTGATGCTTAAATCTCAAATGAAAGGTCAAAGAGCATTACATATAGCTTACCAAGCAGAATATTAGATGACTTCCACTGATGGTGTTACTTGCAAGTAAGAATTCAGAAGTAAATACTAAAGTTAGCTTCTCAATCAGAAATATTGGCTAGTAATAGCACCCAAGATTACGGCCTAACCGTCGATGAAGTGAGAACTACGAGGGACAAAAGTACAAATTCCAGCAATGACAAAAATGCTAGGTGATTTTTTCCATATATGCATTTGGTGAAAAGTTACCGCTGCGGTGCTGCTGAAAGATAGAATAGTTAGATGTGTGCACAAGTTGACCTGGACGCCACCGTTATTGGCCGGTAATACTAACCAATAATATGTAGCTATGAGTTGTTTATTAATGTAAATGATTATAATTCTAGTGACACTCGATAAAAAGGCATCTTTTATCTTTTGCAAACTCAAAGTTGTTGATAACATTATACTATGTCAGTATCTTGCAGCCAGTACTTTCCCACTTCAACATCTACAAGATGGGCGTAAAAGAAGGTAGACTTGGCCCCAGACCCCCTTCACTTTATTCCCTCGATTGATTCTCATGTTTCGGAATATAGAACCAGCTTCCATAATTCAACTCAGAATATGATAAAAGTAATCAGACTGGAACTCAAAATTATACACGATCACGGACCTTTAGACCCATCACACTTTTGTTTTCGAAATGATTATATATAATAACCTATCTGACATGTTATAATATGTTATCAAATTCAGTGGGGTTTAATTTGTATCCCAAACATTTGATCATGTAAGATAGGTTTACCATTACAAAAGAAAAATTATTTTGCTTTCTCCTTCCTTTAAGTAGTTATGCTTTGTTTGACACTTGGTGTTTGAAAATTGAAAATGATGTCCAATGAATCCTAGACTATTTGACAAAACACCAAGAACTTTAAATTTAAATTGTAGACATGTCAGTTACTTAACAATTAACTTCTTTATGATGATTCAATGTTAATGGCGCATGTCATCTTCTCTTTAGATAAATAAAAGAATATAATAAATGAATAAATAGAATGTGATTCGTCAATTCGAGCAATACTCATCTACATGTATAGTGTACGGGAGTTTGAGGCATCTCAAGGGTTATCTTGGCAAAGTTATGATCTGAAGGAACACGTTAATCTAAACACATTAGATAGCGTGTAAATCGTAAAACGAAAACTTACTTGTTGTTCGTGAAATGGAAGCGAAAGTCTGAAACGAACCGCGGCTGGAATCACTGGTCAGTGGTGGTTGTCACGGTGTGTTGGAGCAACCCCAATTCCACAGTCTAAGCTCCTGTCTGATTTTGGGAGAAGAGAGCGTGGGAAAATACTTATTTTCTGTATTTTTTCTGTATTATATGTTGTACACTGTATGTGTACTTTTACAGGGGAATATTAGGGTTAACTAATAACCCTATTAGGCCTTAAAGCAACCTTATGGGTGGACCCAATTTTACTACATGATCAATACTAATCATCTCAGCTTTCGAGTTGTCGTTGCTCTTTGTGATTTTGGGCTCTCCTGTCTTGCTTCACAAGAATGGGGCAAAAAAGAACTGAAAATGGGTATGTTTTGGCTGACATCCCAAAGAGAAAAACAAAAGCTAGTTATTATGTGTCTGGTTTGACATTCAACGGTGGAGATATGGTTAAATCGGATGCATGATGAAGACCAAGACTCCAGGCCTTAGAGCTGAGAGATTTTTGTTGGATGAAGTTATTTCATGTCTTGCCAGAGGCTAAGGATTTTGTGGAGTTGCATAACATGTTTCAAGCCAAAACATATGGTGTTGTGATCCATCAAACTTGCACTCGGCTAATAATTGAGGAATTTAGTCCTTTTCCATACAGAAAATGGACGTCAGGGCTAAATCAAACTCAAAAGCCTGCACATGAGATAAGGATTGCAAAATACCATATATGAAGACAACAACTCATTTCCCCAACTAACGTGAGACACTTAACATTTAATTTCCTCAGTGAAAATTGTGTTGCATTGTTATGGCTTCTCTTTTTGGTGTCTTTACTATATATCAGGGTGTTATTTGTTACTATTACTATCTTTTCTTCTTGTTCTTTTTATGTGTCCTTTTCTCATTTGTTTTGTTTTTTGTGAAAGTTAATATGGTAACATCTTCTACCTTGTATCTGCAGACCTTATAGGCCACAGATGCTATATGCAAGTTGACAAAGATATAGAACAATCTCTTCGTCAGCGGTATAGGTTTTTAGGTCTAAAAACATGGCATTGCCTAAACGGCACTCTAACTTCTATTCTTGTTTTAATCAAAGCCATTTTAGTAATTTATGTAGATAATGACATAACAAATTACGTAAGGTTATTTAAGAATTATATGTGATGCTCTACGAGGATTCCAATGTAGTCCAATTATAAATACACTTACACTTATGTTTCATTACATTCAATCAAACTCACTAAGTAATTATTAAGAAATATTGAACATGTCAGGAAGCAGCATTAAGTTTCTGGGAACACGACCAAGCCCATTCGCAAATCGAGTTGAAATAGCCCTCAATATCAAGTCTGTGGACTATGAGTTTATTACAGAGGATATCTTCAACAAAAGTGAGCTTCTCCTTCAATCCAACCCTGTCCACAAGAAAATTCCAGTTCTAATCCATGGTGACAATCCCATCTGTGAGTCGCTAGTCATTGTCCAATACATCGATGAGATCACATGGACAAATGGCCCTTCTATTCTCCCTCCTGATCCCCACGACCGTGCCATCGCCAGATTTTGGGCTGATTATGTTGATAACAAGGTACTCTTAAATTTACTTCCATGTTTGCAAATTCGGAATTTATACGTTATGAGTGTACCACTTCATATTGAAAGTGCAAGGGTTGAATTGCACTGGTTGTACTCAAAGTTGCCTCTTTTTCAATCGATTCAGTTGAATAAAAGCTCTTTCATAGTTAAAGAACCTTCTTAAATATCTTCATTTAGACGTTCTTTTCAAAAAGTTTGAAGATTATTGTTTTTACCCGTCACGACCCAAAATTACACATGTCGTGATGGCGCCTATTTCAATACTAGGCAAGCCGACAACCTCAATAAACTACAATTTCTTTTAAGTTTGTAAACATAATATTTAAATTCAATATAAAAATCTCACAAATACTAATATAAAACACTCCCAAAATCCGGTGTCATTGAGTACATGAGCATCTAAATGAAAACATAGTTTGAGGGATACAATCACTGTCTAGAAATGTAAGACAACACAAACAACTGAAAGGAAAGAGAGTCAAGGTCTGCGGACGTCAAGCAGCTACCTCGATAGTCTCCAACAGAATAAGCTTCAAAAAACTAGCAACCGCCGTGTCCGGAAGTACCCGGATCTGCACATGAGGAGCAAGGTGTAGTATGAGTACAACCAACTCAATAATTAACAAGACTAACCTTTGGGCTGAAAGTAGTGACGAGCTCAATAGGTACAGTCCAGTATAGAAATAACAATACAAAAATATAGGTATGCTTTCAAGTTCAATAGTTAAACTCAAAACAAGAAAAATAGATCAACTCTGAATGACATGAGGAATATGACATCTCTATGTCTACACGCCAATGTACATGCCATATGTGATACAACATAATAAAAATCTCGCGTATTTACACTCTCAGAGTACTCAATCACTCATTACTATACGAAAAAATTCAATCCAGGGAAGATCCATCTCTCATATAAGTAAATAAATAAGGCAACTACAAGCCATGGAAAGTCCATCCCAAATATAAACATCAATTGCGTTCGCTGTGGGGGGTGCAGACTCCGAAAGGGCTCCTTCAGCCCAAGCGCTATATAAAGCCAATATGGCCTACTGCGGCGTGCAGTCTGATCCCATAATAATAAAGTCTATAAGGCTTGTTGCGGCGTGTAGTCCCGATCCATATATATATATATATATATATATATATATATATATATAT